TCGAACCAAAATTAAATTACCAAGTTTGGCCAATAATCGGAATATCGGATAACCCGAGGAACTTCATACTTCTTAGCGACATGCCACTGTCATTGCCACTTCGCTCACTCTCCTCTCACCACTCCTCTTTCAACATTTCCTCACTCTCTCTCCGCCTTCTCACCCACCTCCACCGCTCCATGGCCACCGCCGCCGCCGCTGAGCCCACCATATGCCCATCAAACACCCGAGTGGGCTGGATCGGCACCGGCGTCATGGGCCGCTCAATGTGCGCCCACCTCATCAACGCCGGATACACCCTCACCGTCTTCAACCGCACTCTCTCCAAGGCCCAGCCCCTTCTCGACATGGGGGCCCACCTGGCCCACTCCCCTCTCGCCGTCGCCTCCCAATCCGACGTCGTCTTCTCCATCGTCGGCTTCCCCTCCGACGTCCGCTCCGTCCTCCTCGACCCCTCTTCCGGCACCCTCGCCGGCCTCCGCCCCGGCGGCGTCCTCGTCGACATGACCACCTCGGAGCCCTCCCTCGCCGCCGAAATCTCCTCCGCCGCTGCCTCCAAAGGTTGCTCCTCCATCGACGCGCCCGTCTCCGGCGGCGATCGCGGAGCCAAGAACGGAACCCTAGCAATCTTCGCCGGCGGTGAAGAATCCGTCATACACCGTCTGAATCCTCTTTTCTCTCTCCTAGGGAAGGTCAATTACATGGGTGGACCGGGGAGAGGGCAGTTCGCGAAGCTGGCGAACCAGATCACCATAGCCTCCACCATGGTGGGGCTGGTGGAAGGGATGATCTACGCCCACAAGGCGGGTCTCGACGTGGCTATGTTCCTGGACGCCATATCCACCGGCGCGGCGGGGTCGAAGTCGCTGGATTTGTACGGAGCGAGGATTCTGAAGAGGGATTTCGAGCCGGGATTCTTCGTGAACCACTTCGTCAAGGATTTGGGAATTTGCTTGAAGGAGTGCCAGAATTTGGGGCTTGGTCTTCCGGGTTTGGCTCTGGCTCAGCAGCTTTACCTCTCGCTTAAGGCTCACGGGGAAGGGAATTTGGGGACCCAAGCGCTGATTCTGGCTCTTGAGCGGCTCAACAATGTTTCCCTTGAATCTGGGGGTTGTTCTTCTTCTCCGGCTCCGGCAAATTAGAGATTTGGTGAGTTAGATACAGAGATCAGTGACTGAGTAAGTGTTAAAAAAGTTTCATACAAGTTTAGTATGTGAATTGTACTCTGTTTATTGTGTCAAGTTCAAGTCTCTCTCTTTTCACCGAAAAGTTTGGATCTTTCTCGTGCTGATTTTTTTGGTGTTTTAACATGAAGTAAAGTAAATTACTGTGGCGTTTCGAAAGTATTTTGTGTAGTGATACTGGAAACTTTGAAAAGTGAAAAATGTGCATTTAGCAGATATATATAATATATACAGCAAATCCCAGGAAATAATGGTGACTCATGACACCTTTAAAGCTTCAATGGAGTTTCTTGACTTCTGATGGAACTGTAACTTGTGCTACGTATTTAGATCAGGAAACCTTTGATATTGATATCCTAGGATAATCTTTTATCTTCCATGTTTCTGAAACGAAAATTCTTATTCAAACTTTTTTTTTTTT